ATCTGTCATTATAGTGATGGGTAACTTGAAAATGTCAGGGGTTGTGACTCGTGATCTTCCTCGCCACCCCACTCCCCTATTTAACTAGTTCCTGAGCGCCTGGGTGGTCAGTCAGTCATGATCTCAGGGTCATGATCTCAGGCTTGTGAGATAGAGCCCTGCGCTCAGCGTGAAGTCGGCTTGGGATTCTCGCCTCTTCTCCCTCTGCCCCTTCCACTCATGCACGTGCTCTCTTGCATGCACACTCTCTTTCTCTCTCAAGTGAATAATAAATCTTATAAATAAATGAAAGAACTAGTCCCATACTTAACTAGAGAACTAGTGGCCTCTCACTGGGACCCCAGCATCATCCCTGCATTTCCCCGGACTTCAGCCATGCAAGCTGCTTTTCCTTCCTCCAAGGCATGGAGCAGTGTCCCCCTGCTGACTCTACCCCCTCTCCCTTCAGTTTTCACCCAGTTAACTCCTGTGCATGTTTTCACGCTTTGGTCTAAATGTCAGCCCCTCTTATCCCCTCCCCACAAAAAGGTCTTTACTGAACCTTTACCCTCCATCTAAATCATGAGTTCTCTTATCCCCTAGGGTACCTGTGACTCTTTGTTTGAGATCTTTGTGCTTCTAGATCATAGACAGACTGACCGTCCCATTTTATACATCAATGCTTTAACAGCCCTTAGTGCAGCCTGACACATAGTAGGCTCACAGATGTTTAAGGAGGGAAGGGGTATCTGCAGAGATGCTCTTTCTCCATTGCTTCGAAGATTACATTGGTTTGACCTTCAGTAAATTGTTTTCATGGGGAACGTTGGAGTCGCAGGCAGGAGTAGGAGGAGGAGGGGGAAGGGAGGAAGAGGAGGGTTACGTAAAAGTGTATGGCCTGCAGAGTCCTGTTACCTTGACATCCGGCATATTTCTGGATTTTAACAATGTGTGAGTTATTTAATTATCTTTATCCTTTGCCTTGTTCATGTAATAGTTCCACGGCCCCATGATAGTCACCACTTCTTACCCCCTGGAGCAGTCCTATCTGAATTGTGTGGAAACTGCTTTCAGGAGTAGTGCTTCCCAAACCTGGCTTCATAGTAGAATCCTCTGGACAATTTTTAAAAATACTGACGAGGAAGTTCTACCCCTATAGGTTCAGATTAGAAACATATTAGGTGATTCTAATGTGCAGCCAAGTTTGAGAACTGTTGCAGAGTGTCTGTGTTTTGTTTTTGTTTCAAGTTTTAATTCTGTATCCAAAAAAGATGTACTTTAACACTGTGCTTGGGGACCCTGGGTGGCTCAGTCGGTTAAGCGTCCACCTTTGTTTCAGGTCATGATCCCAGGGATCGAGCCCCGCAATGGGCTCCCTGCTCAGCAGGGAGTCTGCTTCTCCCTCTCCCCCTTCTCTCTCTCGCTAACTCTCTCTCTCTCTCAAATAAATAAATAAAATCTTTTTTAAAAAGTAACCAACAATGAAGACAGGAATCAACTAAATAGCCAAATATAGTACAGTGAAATATCAATTTAAGTTGCTAATGGATTTGAGCTTGGTACCTCCTTTGTTGGTTTAAAAATCAAAGATAAACTATAACAGCATGTCAAAAGTAACCCATAATCTCATAGTAAACAGCAAACCAATTCTATTTTTGAGTTCTAGAAATTTTTAAAAACAAGCATTAAATAGGGGTGCCTGGGTGGCTCGCTAAGTTCAGTGTCTGCCTTCGGCTCAGGTCATGATCTCATGATGCGGGGTGGGGCTCCCTGATGCTCAGCGGAGAGTCTGCTTCTCCTGCTCCCTCTGCCACTCCCCCTGCTTATGCTCTCTTTCTCTGTCAAATAAATAAAATCTTCAAAAAAAAAAAAAAAAAAGATGCTTGAAGACAGTATGATAGATACAGTGAGAAAAAATGGCTGCAGATCGCTGTAGATCGATATCCATGGCCGGCTAATGGCAGTGAGAGTCCCAGATTTTCTTCTCCTTGACCAAGTCTTGCTGGTTTGGAGTTTGAACAGTATATGCTCTGCGATCGTGTCTTTGCCATGTTCTATTTATTAAGGTAGGCTAATTGCTGTAACAAACAGCCCCCCAAAATCTCAGGGGCATAACACAGGAATGCTTTACTTTTTGCTTATTTTGCAGCCCCACAGGGAAGGCGAGAGACTTGACTTTATTCCACATGTCATTTTGTTTATAGAGCTGTGCCAGCCCAGAGGGCGCCCAGATGGCAGGCTTGGATTTCGAGCCCAGAATACCATGAAGAAGGCAGTTTTTCACCCACCAGACGTAGAAGTAGCCTATATCTCATGCTCCGTAGTTCAACTGCCCTTCTGTTCAAACGGGCCACGTTCAGTCCCTGTTATCCACTGATTGCTGTCAGAGAGGTTGACACGTTTTCCACTTCCTTGTGCTGGAGGATAAAGAAGTGGGTTTGGGAAACATGTAACCTTATTTCTGCTTCACATGTTTTTTAACTAGAGAATTTAGCCCTTTAAGTTCTGTTTGTTTTACCATAATTGAATCAACAACAACTGGCTAGATGTATGTACTTTTTTAAATATCAAGAATTGGAGTACCTGGGTGGCTCAGTCGATTAAGCATCTGCCTTCAGCTCAGGTCATGATCCCAGGGTCCTGGGATCAGGTCCTGCGTCTGGCTCCCTGCTTGGTGGGGAGCCTGCTTCTCCCTCTACCCCTCTCCCCTGCTTGTTCTTTCTCTCTCTCTCTTTATCAAATAAATGAAATTTAAAAAAAAAAAAAGTTATCTAAATCTCTTCCTACAGTTTTTTCTTAGTTTATGTTACTCATCCACTGCATCCTTGATGAATGCCCCCTGGGTGCCAGTGATGTGAGGGAGATGAATACGTGTGCTAAACTCTGTACTAGGAAGATTCTGGTTGCTGACAACAGAAAACCCAACCGAAGTTGTTCTAACTCTGATAACATAGGGCAGAGCGGTTTCAGGTCTGTGAATTCAGCCACTCCTGCTAGGCCTTCTCTGATTTTCTTGGCTTTTGCTTTATTATCTCAAGATAGGTGTGGATTCCCAGGGATTGGTTGTCTGCAACAAGGGGGACGTTTCTGCCTGGTGTCTCTTGTGTGTGCGCAAAGCTCCCCAGGAGCCCTGAGCTTGCTTGACGTGGAGTCTCTCGGGCTGCAGTCCTCACACCTTCCCATGGCCAACCTTGTCACTTGCAGAGGGGAATGGAATGACTGAGATTAGCCTAGCCCGGTGTAGATTCCCAGTGGGCCTGCAGCGCCCAGCCAGACAGGGCTGGTGTCATCTCTCAGCCCCTTCCTCTCCTTTGTTACATGTGGTTAATCATTTACCAGGTTTTCAGCAAAATTCCTCTTTCATAACTTCCCAGATCGTGACCTTCACCAAGGGCAGCTTTTTTAGGACTAAGTGGAGCTCATCTGTGTATCTTGCCCATTTAGCAATTATTAAGGTGCTACCTTGATTTATCATTGGCATTGCTGTTCTGTTACACTTTTTTTTTTTTTTTTAAGACTTATTTAGAGAGAGTGTGCGTGGGTGAGCAGGGGTAGGGGCAGAGGGAGAAGGAGAGAGAGAATCTCAGGCAGACTCCACACTGAGTATGGAGCCCGATGTGAGGCTCCATCTCATGACCTTGAGATTATGACCTGAGCCAAAATCAAGAGTCAGGCTCTTAACTGAGCCACCCAGGTGCCCCTGTCCCTGCAGCTTTAGTTTACTTCTCTTTTAAGTTCCCTGCCTTTTACTACTTCCGTTCTCCCCACGATACCAAGAATAGTATCTTACACAAAATTGAGTTTCTCTTTCCAAATCTGTGACCTCCGTGCCTTCTTGTCCACGTCCGGCACCAGACAATACCTGCTCTCCTGGGGCCCCCGTGCTCCTTCCAGAACATGACCTCCAGAGCCATGTTCTTTCCAGGCCACCTTGATGAGCTCAGTCTTCGCCTTCTGTCTCCTGCGGTTGCCTCTGAGCCATCAAACCCAATCCTCTCCACTTTCCTTCTCCAGCACCTCTGATCTCAGTGCCGCTGGCCTAGCCAGAATCCCGCCCCCTAGTGGTCTTCCCAAGCTCATCTGGCTCTTGTGCCCAAATCCTTCCCTTTTTCTTTTTGTGGCTCATGTTTGCCAGTCTGTTCAGGTGAGACTTGAACCTGGTTTACTTCTCTCACTGGTCTCCCCTCCCCCTGCACGTCTTTGTTCACTTTCCCTCAACTGTCACTGAAGCATGATCTCTGCAGGATGTCAGACCTGGTGTTACGTTCTGGACATGGAGGCTTAGCCGCTGCCTCCCTCCGAGGATTAGTATGGAATAAAATGTTTCCGTGTGGTGGGTCGAGGACCTGTGGGGTCATTCCCTTGTCCCCTCAATCATATTTACGAATAATTGCATTTTTTTTTTTTTTAAAGATTTTATTTACTTATTTGACAGGGAGAGAACACAAGCAGGGTAAGTGGGAGAGAGAGAAGCAGGCCTCCCGCCGAGCAGGGAGCCCGATGCGGGGCTTGATCCCAGGACCCCGGGATCACGACCTGAGCCGAAGGCAGACGCTTAACGACTGAGCCACCCAGGCGCCCCGAATAACTGCATTTTTAAGCCTACTTGCCTGCTTTCCGTTTCCCAGAATGATGCTGTTAGTGTGCTCGTTCCTTTAACAAGTATTTACCAAGTGCTTCTCAGCAGCCGGGCCCTGTGGAGATGTCTGGATACTCTAGCGAACAAAACAGAGATCCCTGTCTGTGCCAGGCTTCCCTCGCATGGAAGGCATGTCCATCCTCTCAACTTAGTGAAGGTGATTCTGTTGACCTCTGACATCCCAGAGGCTTTCATAATAGCAGAAAGAGTGTGGCCAGAAGGAGAACTTGCTTTTAGCGCCCTTTAACTTGACCCGCGGGACAGGCATTTCAACCTCTGTTTTCCCACCTTTCAAATGGAGTGATGTTGGTCAAACTGGGTTTCTTTTCTTTTTTTTTTTTCTTTTTCTAATTTGAACAAGCTTGCGCATTTTGTTTTTCAGCGGTGAAAGTGGGGCAGGTAAAACCGAAAGCACCAAATTGATCCTCAAGTTTTTATCAGTCATCAGTCAACAGTCTTTGGAATTGTCCTTGAAGGAGAAGACATCCTGTGTTGAACAAGCTATTCTTGAAAGCAGGTATTTCTTTGTCATGCTCCTTATTTCCGATGAATAGGATTCACTGTCCTCCCTGGGTGGCTCATTTAAGGACGAGTTATAATTAGTTGGTCTATTTTCTCTTTTTACAATCCCTCAAAGGAAAAGTCCCAACATGGACACAGCAGTTTCTAACAACCTGAGCGACCATTCCTGGTCCCCACCCCACCCCCCACCCTAGGCCCCTACTGCGCCAGGTTTGAATTGGTGAGTGAGTGATTCCGAGGAATATTCTGCAGCCTCCTCTAACTAGCGAGCCCTCGACTCACTTTTCGGAGGCCTTGTTATGAGCAGAAATTTCAGCCTCTGGCCACTGGGTAACAGAGACCTTAGCACAGAGATGAGGGAGCCTCTGCTGGTCTTCCAGCCCTTCGGAGGCACCATGTTGGCCAGATGGCATTTTTTTTAAAGCCTCTCACGTGGCAGAAGATCAGTGGTACATCTGATAGCAGTGAGCCTCAGAACTTTGAAAGACGGCTGTGTGGTGAGGGATCATCTGAATTCTTAATTTGAGTATGTATTGGCCCGATGTCGGATTTGCGCCTTATAAGATTTTAGGACCAGTGAAGACCTTATAGATCTTGTTATTTAGAATTTAGTCTAGAAGTCAGCAGACTACAGCCAGATGCCCATAACCTGTAGCCTGGTTTTGTTTTAGCATTCATACACTTTTGTCAATTGTCGTGGAATATCTATAACATAAAATTTATAATTTTAAGCGTTTTTTTCAGTGCACACCTTAGTGTCATTAAGTACATTCACACTGTGGAGCCACCACTGCAAACCATCCATCTGCAGAACTTTGTCATCTTTCCGCAGCCTGTTTTTGTAAATAAAGTTTTATTGGAACACAGACACGCTCATTTGTTTATATATTGTTTACAGCTGCTTTTAAGCTACAGTGGCAGAGCCGAGTGGGTTGTAACCGAGAACACGTGGCCCACAAAGCCTAAAATCTCTATTATCTGGTTCTTTGCAGAAAACTTTGCCACCCCCTGATTTGTCTGACCCCGTCTTACAGTTGGGGAAGACCCAAAGACATTACTTATAAATGAGTTGCCCTAGACAACAAACGGGTGAAATTCCCAGGACTGGGACTTCTTCAGTTGCTGAAATTTAAGTGGGGTCTTTTTCTGTGCAATCCCTGGCTTGTGTATATAAGCCCAGGCTAATTTGCACAAGGGACAAGCCACTGTGGTCACCTGAACTCTGCAGCATCCTGTGCCTGCCCACCGAGCCCTAAGAGCTCTCATTCGAAGTGGATGTGCATTATAAACCCATTTCAGGAAGCGCTTTGAAAGTGTGGCCCTTCTGTAAACAAACATAGTCACCATAGGTCCTTTTGATTTCAGATTTTTCTTGCAATTATATATTTTGACATTTGTGAGGAACGCTCTTGCTGATTTTAGATCTCCCCTAATTAACACTCACTGCTGTCCTCACTTTTTTTTTTATTAATTTTTTTATTGAAGTATAACAACATACAGTATCCTCTTGGCTTCAGGTATACATCATAGGGATGAGCTATTTTTGCACATTATGAAATGACCCCCACAATAAGTCTAGTGACCATCTGTCACCCTGCATAGTGATTACAATGTTATTGATATATCTCCCCTGCTGAAATTGACATCTCATGGCTTAGGTATTTTATAACTGGAGGTTGTCCTCATGTCTTCCACAGCCCCATCATGGAAGCTTTCGGCAATGCCAAGACCGTGTACAACAACAACTCCAGTCGCTTTGGGAAGTTCGTTCAGCTGCACATCTGCCAGAAGGGAAATATTCAGGGCGGGAGAATTGTAGATTGTATCCTGTTTCATTTCGGTCTTGTCTTTAGTATTTGACCCTCTAAGTACAATCTGCTCTTGGTTATCGTAAGGACAGGTAATGTGAAACATTTCGGTTATGGCTTAATATTGCTATGTTTGACCTATTAACTATCCTGGGAGATAGCCGTTTTCCTTTTGGAAAATTCTGCTATCATGTTCGTAATCTGGAAAATTGGATTCATCATCAAGCATCAAGTGTTTGTTGTTTGAGATCAATTTCGTCAAATAGTTTGGCACCTCCTAGGACACCATGTGTCCTGTTTGAAATTGGATTTAGATGAACTAGTCTATGCTTTGTTGGCTCATCTCTTGGCACTGGAAGTCACAATGTCAAAGGAACAGGGATTTGCAATTATTTGGGTGACAAAGAATAGAAAATTAAAGCCTAATTGAACATGTCATATCCTGGTTTTGTTCCTTGACTGGCCATTGCTTTTCACATGAAGATTTATTAGAAAAAGTAAGTAAACATGATTTAATTCACATTTTCTTCGGTAATAATTATTTTCGGGAATTGTTGGTTTGTGTTAATTAAATGGAGGAAACATCTCAGATGAAATCTGATTTATCCCCACAGAACCGAGTAGTAAGGCAAAACCCCGGGGAAAGAAATTATCACATATTCTATGCACTGCTGGCAGGACTACAACACGAACAGAAAGGTGAGTGAATGGGACACTGGCACAGAAGTGTATGCATTAGCAACTGGTGTTCCCTTGAAAAGCCGTCAGGAAGACATCTGTTTGCGTTTTGTTGGTATTCCATCAATTGAAACGAAATGTATGAGAATACCGGAAGAGGTTGAGTCCATTTTAGAGCCAACCATGTAGAGGGAAGATCATCAGTAGAGAAATGTTAAATTTTTTGTTTTGGGGATCTTGGTACTTTTCTAATTTATAGGCTATTTATGAAAAAAAACTGTATGATGCATATTGTAACTGGTTTACTTTTAAACCATACCCAAATAAAGCTAATTTCTAAACATTTGATTTTTTTCTAAATTTTTTTTTTTTAAGCTTTTTATTTATTTGCGAGAGAGAGAATGAGAGACAGAGAGCATGAGAGGGAGGAGGGTCAGAGGGAGAAGCAGACTCCCTGCTTAGCAGGGAGCCTGATGTGGGACTCGATCCCGGGACTCCAGGATCATGACCTGAGCCGAAGGCAGTCGCTTAACCGACTGAGCCACCCAGGTGCCCTAAACATTTGATTTTTAAGGGAAAATAAAACAGGATCCTTATCAGTTTTTCAAGAACATTTTCTATTATGCCATCTCGTTTAATTAAATCCTTTATTTTTATTTTTATTTATTGAGCTTTTCTTTAGCATAATCAAGAGTTGGAGGCTTAACCTACTGAGCCCTAATTAAATCCTTTTTATTTTCTCTAAATGATGATTAAGAGAGAATCTTTTTTTTATATTAATAGGAGACTATTAGCATAGAATTATTTATATACTTTATTTTTTTAAAGTTACAAAGTGAGAACTCTTTTGGATTCTGTCTTATCCTGGCCAAATACTGATTTTATGATTTTCTTTGTCTTTTTGCAGAAGAATTTTATTTATCTGTGCCAGAAAACTATCACTATTTGAGTCAGTCTGGATGTATAGAAGACAAGACAATCAGTGACCAGGAATCCTTTAAGGAAGTGATTGTAAGTTACTTTCTTATTTTACCTTTATTAAGAGTGACAACCCCCTAAAAAAAAAAAGCGACATTTCATTTCCTGTTTCAAAAAAAATATTTTTTTTGTGAATGGACCTTCAACTCTATGGTCAACTAATCTTCAACAAAGCAGGAAAGAATGTCAAAAAAATTTTTTTAATGAAAATAGAAGTAATTACATTTGCACCGCTGTACTGAGAATAGGTACTTTCTTTTTGTTCCAAGTCATGATAAAGAATGTTCCAGACTGGAAGAGAATCCTCTTTCTTTAGAAGGTGGAGAAATATCTGTGGCATTCAGGCCAGATGGGGAGTTGACTTGGAACTGTATTAAAAAAAATATAGGCTTGCCACTGGAACATGCCAGTCTTTCTTTTTTGAGCTATTTATTTATTTATTTATACATACATACATACATACATACAGTTTCTACAGCTAAAACCAAATCTGTCAACCATTAGACCAGGTGACTATTAGGATCTTGTCTGAGTCTCTTGGCCTGGTTCTGACAACCAATTCTGACCACAAGAAAAGTAGTCACAACTCTGCAGTGTCAAAACATGTGGTCTCTTACAGTTTTCTGTTATCACGAGAACTGTGTTATAAGGTGACAACATTTGGGAACCCTGGTCATCGAGCTTTATTAATAGCCCCATCCGATTGAGAACGGCCAGTAGATTTTGCCAATGCAGTCTTCATTCCTTTGCCAGAGTCATTACTGTAACAGTTGGATACGGTGGATCTAGGGTTGATTCATCATCATAAATGCAACTGATACTGAGCGCTTGTTATATGGGCTCAAATGGGCCAACTCTCTCGTTGTGCTTAACGACACTGTGACGGTAGGAACCCTGGTTGGCTACACTCTGCAACTCAGAGAGGTTGGTGTCCAGCCTAACCACACACAGTACTAGATAGAGCCGGTGCGGAAAGAGTCTACCTCCAAATCCCAGACTCTAACCCACAAGGCAGGCAGGTGGTACCAGCTTCTGGTACAGCCCAGATTTGTCAGTCAGGTTCTTTTCTTTATAGTTGTCAACAGTTCTCTATTCAATATCCCCATTTATTCTTCCAGATTGTTTGTAAAAATGCCTTGTGGAATAAAATCAGGGTCTTTTTTTTTTAAGTGGATATATATCATACATCATTTTCCACATCTTAAATTGAAATTAAGGACAGGATTGGCTATAATATGATCCTCTTCCCCTCTGTCTCCCCTTTATTCTGTCATTTATAATGCAGAGGGGTTTCTCTTGCCAAATCTCCTTCCTTGAAACTGTTAACAAAAAAGCCTCTGTTGACAGCACCTTTTGCTGTGTACCCTGGACAGCATGAGAATTGGCCTTGAGAGTTGGATTTTATGAAATGTTTAACTATTTTAAATTTTCTTTCCCAATTTTATTTTGCCCCTGGAATTCTATTATTACTCAGACTTTCTCTCTTCTCAATTCGTTTAGTATTGTCTTTGTCTTTACTGTGTGTTAGAATAAATATGAAAACTCATTTTTGATGAAAAGGGCAAAGGAGGACAGGATTTTTTTTCCTTTTTTTTTTTTTTTTCTTGAAGCTGGAGAACAATGCTTTGTGATAGAAGGACGTTGTTTGTGGCAGGAGACAGACTCCTAATTGTCCAAAAAGCAGCAGGTCTTCTACTCATTAGCTTGCCTGGCCACTAGAGTGCACTGAGCATCGGGTCCTCCTCTTGTCCTGAGAGCCCCGGAGAAGTTACTCTGATGGCTTTCCTCTGCTTTCCTCTTGGGCCTTCATTTTCTGATTCAGAATTGTTTGTGCCTTTTGCTAGCCTACAGATAGACTTTTAGGGCTCGCCCTGCTTTCATTGATTGCTAACTTTTATTATTAAATTGAAAGAGTAGGTTTTAGCATTTAAAATCTCATCTTAACATTGAAAACGTATCATTGAGAAAGGAAGAAAATTTGTACATGAAATTGATATAGACAACAAGCTTACAAGTTTAAATTATTTAAATATTTACTTTGTGATTACTTTTTGGTGTCAACCTATTAGAAATGGCAATGAAAACCTAGCTGCTATCTATTAAAATCAGGAACGTGTAGTTTTTTATTATTATTTAACTTTCTGGAAGTTCTAAGTAATACAGTCAGAAAAGAAAAAATGTGCACCTTTTCAGAAAGAAGAAAAACACTCTTTTCTATAAAAAGTAAGATTTTTTCTCCATTTTTTTTTCTCCCTTTACCTTAACCTGCAAGAACCACAAATAGAGGATTAGCTTAAATAATTTGTTAAAGCCATAAAATCAGGTCCATTAGAGCAAGCAAAACATATGCTCAAATATATTTAATTATATGGGAAAACTTGCTTATTTTATAATTGAAGATAAGCTGCAACACTCATTGATAATCCTTTTATTTAAAAAAGCATTTTATGTATAATTTACGATAACTGATATAGTAATTATATGCAGAAAAAAGGCTGGGACAAAAAATAAACCAAATATGTTATCTCATGAGGCAGAATTCTAGGATTTTATCATTCTGTGTTATCATATATTTACAGTGACTATATCAGCTTTAATGATTATATAATTATGATTACATTCCTAAAATTGCAACTTCTACAGTCAAAAGTATCCTGTCGATACCAGCCAGCCCGTTGTTCTGTCTTATGCAGTACTCTGTAACCAGGAGTGACACAGGAATGGTGAGAAAGAGACACTGAACTCTTCAGACCGAAGTCGGTTTTATATATTCAACATGTTTGAGCACCTGCTATATGCCAGGCACTGTTCTAGGCACCAAGGAGATTGCAGTAAATAAGCTACGTATAACCCCGGTATTCTGCTGAAGAAGGAAAAAAGATTGAATCATATTGTACAGCTGCTTTTAATGTAATTTGTCTCTCAGTATTTTCCTCCAAAATCAAATACCACTTAAATTTGTATCTTCATATTTCAGTTTCATAAAGCTGCTTTCCCCAGAGGTTTTGGGATCAAAGGGAGGGAAGGGACCACATTCCATTAAGCCTGAAGGATATTTGTTTGCAGAATATGTTGAAATGTTCATAGAAATTATTTCTGTGAATTATGTATGCAAATGTCATTTTTAGCTGCTGAAAAAATGAGTCTTTTTATCAACTTCAATGTCAGTATACTCTTGTATATGTCTTCTAAGAATTTTGCTTATTTTATTAAGAATTTGCTTTCTGTGTTTTTAGAGTTCATTATTGCCACCACTTGACATTAATATCAATAAGTGCCTGTTAAGTACCCCGGGCAGTTTAGAGGACCTGGTTTTTCCTGGTGCAGACTCTGTGAATATATGCTAAATTTTATAGCCATGTTTTTATGCAGCCTTTCAAGTTGCCCTAGAAATTTCAAGTCAATAGGAGCAACTAATTTATCTGCATTTGACCCACCAGAATGGTGGCTGATAAAAAGTGTGTGTTAAGTAGCAGGAGTCTTTGGGTGATAATCTTTTCAGATTCTCTTACTCCACAAATGTTGAATGTTTATAGCCTTCCTAGCTGTGGACCAGGACTGGGGTTTCTGGACCTTATCAGCCTTACTGGGTATATCCATGGGTTTTTAATGGTATGAGCCCTTGTGTATGTATGCATAAATTCATTCCACGTGAGTCAGACTTTATTAAGACTTAAAGGGCGGACTTTAAACCTCAGTTTTGCCAAGCATGGAAACATCAGTCTCTTTCGGTGGTGGTGAACTTGGCAGAATAAGCAAATTTTATATTATAAAGTAACAGAATATTGCCTATCATCACATTGCATAATAAATTATTATCAGATTGCTTACTTGCAATTTACTATACCCAGAATCGCCTCCCCTTCCACTGTTTCAGTGACACCATTTGTTCATCTGTGGTCCCTTTGCCTTAAATGGCACCTCTACACCTCACAGCCAACTGCCTGAGACCCTAAGCAGATGTACCTTCTGGCAGTAAAGCACCTGAAATTTGCCCCTCCTTTCTATTACTTTCTAGTGCCATGAGCCTGGCCTCCTTTGGTCCTTCACGATTGGGACCAGATCCCATATTTGTCGTCCCTCTTCTTCCCCCACCGCCCACCCTCACTTTCCCAAACACCTATTTCCTTAATAAGGACTTTATTGAAAATATTTTAACTTTGTGCCAGTTTTGTTATAACTAAATTGCTGTTTAGTGCTTCGGAACTATACGGAGAATTTCCCAGCCCGTTTTTTAAGTCTTGCAGCCATACCGTTGAGAAAATAAGGAAATGATAATAAGCTTTAAAGTGGCTACTCTTGCCAAGGGGGGTGGAGATTGCAACTGGAGAGACTGTAAACAGGACAGTAGGGCACAGTAAGTAGAGGCTCTTAACTGGTGGTTCCAGCACGCATGCCCATGCTGCTGCCAACTGGGGGCAGCCATTAAATTACCCCGCAGTATGATTAATGCAATTACTAATCACCACGCTCCTAATTCACTTAGAGTTAGATTGAGAGTAGTCAAATTTCTTAACACAGTAAGCACGTTTTATTTGCTTTCTATCTCCGTATATGACTTCGGTATGTATTTTAAGAGCTTAGCCAAGAATATTTTCATCGGGCGTCTCTTGATATTTTTCATGTGATAACTTGACATTTTCTGCTACAGCAAACTTATTTTTTTGGTCTTATTTCCTTTTAGTGTTTATAAAGTCCAGGTAGTTGACTTAAACAGTAAAGGATTTCATTTCTGTGACCTAAGAATTTTTTATAAGGTAGTGTTGAATATGCCTTATAGGAGGAAAACTTTAATCATAGAGAGGGAAAGTATTAACTTTTGTACAGTGTAGGTGCTTTATAATTATTTTGCTGTTTGATTTGGTCCTTACTGCTATTTTAAGAGTCTTGAGAATAAGAAATTATTCTGTATTAACTACCTTTCTTTACTTTTAACTTTTAGAATAAGTAAATTTGAATATTTTTCCATATGGTTTTTTTAATTGATAAGCACTCGACTAATGGTTCTTATTCTTTGTGTCAATTTCTGCTTGCACCAATGAAATGAGTCTTTAAACACCTGATTAAATAATTCATGGTGTTTTTATTATTTGTAATCAGATTTATTGAAAGGCAGTGTACATATAATAAAACGCTACCGTTTAAAGTATACATTTTAATGGATTTTGAATTTACTCACCCATGTACCCACAACCACAATCAAAATAAAGGGTGATTCTTTTTTTTTTTCTTAGTAAAGCCTCTGTTTATTGTTTTTTTTTTATTTTTTATTGTTATGTTAATCACCATACATTACATCATTAGTTTTTGATGTAGTGTTCCATGATTCATTGTTTGTGTATAACACCCAGT